TTATAACCTCAACTGTATAAGTCCCTCATCGATGGCCATTTCCTTGTTCGAATTCGAATTGGTGAATTTAGGATTCTGGATTTGGTGATTACTCTGGTCTTAGTCACTGATGTCATTAGATTCGGGAGATTGTCAATAATCTTCTTCTAGTCGATCAACGGATTGGATTTTTCGTCATAGGAAACCCACTGAGTAGAGCGCGCCAAGTTATTCAACAGTGTGTAGTCTATAGATCTGCGCGTGTTACCAGAAGAACGTTTTTGATTCGATGCGTAGCAAACAAATTTGAATGTAAGTACTGCATGATCGCTACGTCCTAGGGGAGAAGTCACATTGACAGACTCTACCATCAGCTCCTCATTGGTCAACACCAAATCCAGTATGAACGGTGACTGCAGGTTGCCAAACCTAGTGGTCACCTTCACATGGTTGTATAGTGGATGCGAGTCAATCAGCCATTTAAAATGATGTTCGAAAAATGGACGGACGGTTGCTGATTTGTTGAGATTGGGGCAGTTGAAATTACCCATAAGGAGAACATGGGTAACTTTTTGTGTAAGAATGCGTGACATTGTAAAAGCGTTTCATTGGCCGCCTCCAGTGATGATGGGGGACGATAGACTACACCAATCAAGCAATCATCATGTTTGGACAACTTCAACCTGCACCACAGAGTGTCCGGTGTCGAAACGGGAGGGTAGATTTGCTCGCAATCAAGACTGTTTCGGAAGTAGAGTAAAACACCACCACCACGGGTAGGACGATCGCTTCTGAGTAGAGACATCTCTGATAAAGACAATTCGGAGTCCGAAATATCAGTTGTGAGCCAAGTCTCTGTAACAGCAATAATATCCCATTGACTAGATATAAAACGTAACTTCAACTCTGGAAATTTGCCGAGGAGTCCTTGAGCATTAGAGTAAAAACAGTTTATATATTGTCGGCGTAGAAATCCGCTTGGATAGGAAGTGGTATCTCGGCCGACCCCTTCTCGGTCGGCTACCTTTAGTTTTTTAGCAGAGGAGATCTGGTACTTTGGACAACGGGTTGCGCCGCGGAGTTCGGTACATGCATGGTGTGGTCTGATGCATCAGAAGGGTTCTCCAGATTTGGGTGTGCTTTGAGCCCGGGATTGAGTAGGGGTCTCACACGTAGTTCTGGAGGCCCTCTGTTCTTTCTTTCCCGCCATAACTGTAAGACTGTGTTCGCCATTTCTGGAGTTCCAAGGGTAACTTTCATTATCCTCGGACCGTTACCACGGTAATGTGGTGAACAGGGAAGACGACTGATTGAAGTTGTCAAAACGTCGCTACACTCAAGTAGATTTTGAATGAATCGCCATTCCTTTCGGTCGTTCTGATGACCTTTTGGTTCATCCGGATCGTCCAATTGCGGGACACCATGGAGAAGTACGACCCTCTTATTTTCCTCCACTCGTGCTCTCATTGGATCGGACTGTTGCTGCATTCGTTCCGTCCATGGCCTATCAGGGAAGATTCTTATTGGGCAGGAACTCTTCCTGAGAAGGTGACTAGAAAAAAGAACGTCCTCCAAGTCCTTATCACCTTTCAGGGTCACCCGGGGCAGTCTGTGTTCCCCGGCATGTGGCGACTTCGACTGGCGCATGAGTCTTGTCAAGCCGACGAGTAAAACAATAATACCCATCTGCGCGCACAAAACCTTCCATTGTCCCATCTCCTCCCCTGTCGCTCTCTAAGTGGTTGTGTTGTTGGTTGGGGTACATTTGTGCAGATAATCATCAAAGCGGTGCTGCTACCACCCTTTTTACCTAGTATCGAAGGCTTTGGTGTGGACATGACAGGTTTCGTTTGAAGGAGGACCTTTTTTCTGTTCAGGAACTTTTACCGCGTCTTTCGTTACAGTGGAAACCATGTTTGTGTCGACAGAGGTCATACATTGCGTTGGAGCGGTGCTGATTAACGAACACCTTGGACGTTTAGCCGGTCATTGTTTTGGGCTCGACGGAGGGATCTGGGAGTTCAGGGTAGCACGAACTTTACATCTTGTTTATTAATTTGTTGTAAATAACAACTGTTCCATTCTCTTTAGTTACCCCTTAACTCATCATGGTCTAGGTCAACCACCACTGATGAAATGAAAGTATCCGCTACATTCTGAACCATTCCATGTGCTGAGTATAAACGAATCATAAAAATCAAGTCTATAAAGACTCACCAAGGCTTTTTATCATTATTTGGAAAGAAATTTTACTTCAGTATAAATGTTGTTGCCTATACGAACCGACATGTGTTTTACAGGGACCCGTTGCTTCAGTTCTAATTAGACCTGAGACCACCGGGTATGCATCTACCGTGCACGTGGCGCTTGCATCTCACAGTGTACCCAGCAAATAGTGAGAGAACCAAAGTGCATTTACAATAGCCTCTAACACAGTTACCAATGCCTTCTGTATACAACTGCGGATGCACACAAACAAGTAAAACGTACACAGCAACTTCTAATTTCCACCGACGGTCAAGTATTTATAATGAACCAAGCTGGAATGTCCACAGTTGTCTATCAGGAAGTAGTTCGAAGCCAAGCTAACCTCCAAGAATAAGGAAAATGTTTCAGTAATGGCTTTTTGAATTGAATGTGTCTGACTTCGACATGATTGTCACAAGGACCAATGTTCCATGGTTTTATGATGAATAGTTTACTGATGAATGGACAGAATTTTCAGATTCAAAGGAGCCTGTTCACAGTTCTTGCCGCTCATCAGGCATGCGCATCCTGTACTCCTCCGCACATGCATTCATGTGCAAATCAATATATGATGGTCTGAATCAGTTAAATATTACAAACCGTATGACCTACAATTTTCAGTGTTATATGATACTCTAAAGCGAAATTCGATGATACAATAACAATCTTTCGTTTCTGTCTTCAATATCATCCATCGCATTTCAATGGATGTTCAGATTGACGTGGATAGACCTGAATTGCTCGAAGTTGTCGTGGACCCCATGACGGACGGTATAGCCGCACCGATTCAACTGGCCCTGACTATAAATTTATCCGGTGTACAGAAAGCTGATACAGTCCGAGATCGAACAGCGCACAAAATGAATACTATAACTGCAACAGAATCATGTAAATCAATCTGGATTTTGCTCAAACCAAAATCAAAAGCTAAACGCTTTTTCTTAGAACAGGTATGTATTTTGAACATATAGATATCCAGTCATTGTTTCAAGTGACACTCCTATGATGGTTACAATATGCAATTTCCAATAAAACCGAACCGTAGCTCATCATGATAACCGGAATTTTGTGCTTGAAAAGCCTTCATACGCATTCTATATATCTGATTCACTGCAATCCATGATCTAAGTAGATGATATAATTCACCTTCATGTACACCGTATTCAAGTCCAAATGTTTCCTATAAATCTTATCTAACTCCAGCCAATTTTGGTTTTATGGCTCAGTGGATGGCATACTACGCATCCCTTAGGTTATATTAATTAGTTTTACTGAACCCAACATCTGCCCATATGTTGTCCGTAAAGTGGGTTGATTTTGACGTTCCATATCAGTGAGTTGCGCTACCGTATTCATCATGCTTCTTTTGGCTTCAAGACACCTATGATCGAGTTATTCTGAACTACAGTGCAGTTGCCTCGGCTGTCACGGGGTTTGAGTACTGAGATTTGATATAGATTGGTAAACAAGCTCTTTCCCCAAGATTGGTGAACATGTCAACACATCACTATTTATGCACGAGTAGTGAAACAGCTTTTTTCATATGGAATTCGCAGATAGTATTCATAATGATCAAAAATTGTTTGTTTGTACTTCCGATCGCGCATATTACTGGAGATGTGAAATAAGTGGTTTTCTACTTTTTTCCGTCAACATTAATCAGAAAGCCATATTTAGGGAGCCCATTCTTGAAGTGTCATTGAATACTGTTTCTAAATCTTTTTACGCACAACATAGTTTGATTCATAAAATTGGGCTTTTAAATTACCCGATCTCAATCGAGAAAAGTCACAATTAGTCGTCTTTTCATGATTTTCCGTTCCTTTTTTGCTTTTTACCGCTAAAAATATTCAGGTAGCACCTTTATGGCGTTCTCGTGGTGTTCTGCAGCAGATCGAAGACGTTCCGCCACCCCAAATGAGGCGCGCATCTCTTATCGCCACTCTCCTCGCACATGATGGTGTCAGTGGTCTGCCAGACTCAAGGAATTCTTCCACTGACGCAACAGGTTATCCCATTCAGTTTTCCATTAGTCAACTCATGACTCAACAAGTGTCAAATGACGTTTGGCTTCAAATTCACCGGGCGGATATGCAGCATATTGAGGCCAGTTGTTGCTTGAATACGACCAATCTGGGTGTGAACTCCATAGCGGAATATGCTATTCACTGTGGTCTGACCTGTCCTAGCCACGAAGGCTGGCGCTCTATTGACAATGCCACTTGGATTGATCTATTGAAAAATGCTTTTGAACAGAAGGATGTCGACTATGCGGACCAAAATGCTTGGGTACGGGGTTTGCAGGACAGTGGTGGGATTGACACTCTGTACAGTGCTATTCCAGACGAAAGCACTGTAGTGCACTCCGAGTGTTTGACGTCAAGGGAACCTTTTGTGATCACAGTGATTTGCGGTACTGTTGGCAGTCGCAAGGTGAGTTAACCGGAGGTTCTTAGCAATCCACGTTTCTCAGTAATTTGTCACAAATTGGTTTTAGTCTCATCCACTTCTCTTCTTTTTCTCATTCTGGCTGAGGAAAAGATCAAAGTGTGCAACAAACAAACTGATATGCAGGCAGAACTGATTAACTTTTGTTCTCTCAAATTGATCCGTACTACCGAGGTGGTTTTTTTGCGGAAGACTGGGATACATAAATTTTACTTTGACATTCCGTTCTTCCGGACTCATTCATCGGTTTTTGAAGTGTAAGTGTGTGAGTTTATCATGATGAAAGCTGTTGAAATCCACCCCAAATACATGAGGTAGTCACTGCGTCCAGTTCGAATTCCAGTGGTTTCAGTGACCTTGCACCGCAGGTGGCAGCTACCCAATGTGAATGAGACATTTTGAGAATGACCCCAATCCGTCGAAATCTCTGATTAGACGTGAATAAACCACCTTAGAATAAAACGTTTGACCCTCCTCTGCATCGAATGTTCCTCAGTGTTAATGAAGCAGTGGTGATCGAATTGTAAGGTCGTCTAAGTAACTACCTAGAGGCCCTAAGTTCGAACCCTGCCATCACCGCCCATTTTTGTTGTCTATATTTTCCCCAATCAGCCTTTGTGTGGCCCAACCCCGTCCTGAAAATTTGTGTAAATTTTTATGATCAATAAACAAGAAGGATTTAAAAATACTTATTTATTTTAAAAAAGGTCAAAATGCCCGTATATTGCGTCTTAGCTTTTCAGTTCCATTTCCTTCGCTCTCCTGAGATAAAGTCTATTGTGATTTTGTAAACATCATCGAACACCGACTTTGATCTGAATTCAAATGAATAGGAATAAATTCAGCTTTCTGAATTAGGCTACATTGAAAAACTTGGAATATTAAAAACGGATAAGTTGATTATTTGAGTAAACATAACAGTAGCCATCCCAATGAAATTAGGTGATTTGATTTGAATTTGATTAACATTTTTTGTCATCGTTAATCAAGAAGCTAGAAAACTGAAACATCTCCCACAAGACAATTTGAGACTAACTGGATATACGAGGAAGATGTGTAGTTGACGAATTCAAAAATAAATTTATTCAACCAGGAAGATAGAAGACTTCACGCCGACCTCAAGCATGACTTTCGTTTCCTGTGTTATATTCAGAAAGAGTCAGACAATAAAATAATGAAAACATCAAGAGGTTCTCTTTCGCTCCCGGCCGTTGTACATTTTGTCACGAGTGAACTTCGTGGCACATCCGCGCTGATATTACAATTTAGTCTCCACGAGCTTTGTTGAATTCATTTGCAATGCACTCAAAAAGGGTAGATAGACATACGTTGTTTCATGCATCTGATGAATTCCATCTCATAGAACAGTGTAGTGTCAGGTAAGTGTGGTTTCCATCACTCGCCCAAAAATGAAGCATATTGCTAGAAGGTGAAATAAATTTAATTGATCTGCGAAAAATAGGATACTGTTTAAGTTGAAAACTGATACACAACCAAAGTGTCTTAAACAATAAATGCATTCATATCCTTTGTACTGCTCTATATCCAGAATATGTGATAAATCAGTCGTGACACCAAGGCGTTTTTAAGGTTCATATTTGTGTAAGCACGTCGAAATGTGCCCCAATAGGAATGAGAAATAAAACAGATTAATTCAAATGATGAAAAAAGTAAGAAAATGGTGTACATAAAATTTTTTATCACATTCTTCATAGCATTTATATCGGCATCTCTTGGTGCCTCTTACCTCAGCCGCTTCAGATTCCCATTGAGCAGTAAACAGAGGAATTTTGCACTTCTCTTGAAGACCAATTTCGTTGGTTGTGTTTTTGTTTGGTAGATGAACCTAAAAGGACAGGCGATGGATGGAGGGTACATGAATTGCATCTCTCGTAATGTCAGCAAGTGTTCTTTAGTGGCGATCATCTTCCCGAAGAGGAACTTCAGCCTGGAATTTCGGTCCCATATCTCCGCGTGGTGTCTACCGCATTTATTCCGAATCATTTATCACGCCACGATCACTCTTTGAAATTTATTCAGTGACAGCTAGTCTTTCTAACTAGATGAGCCCTCACAATCCCTATGCAATTCTTGTGCCAGAACGTAGAAGTCTTTCCAGTCTCAGTGGTTAGTAGTTATTCAGGGGGAGGCAGACGCATCTCAGACCCCTAAAAGCTATGCGGTTGTTCCCAATAGTCTTCTGTTCTCGGGACTCACTCAGTTCTTCTGCTCCGTTGCCGCCAGTGTCACTTACTACTGTTATCTTTATGTGTGTATCCTATCCTAATCCATTACCTATATTTATAGAGCCAAGTAATTTTAATTTGGGGCACAACAAAAAAGACTGGTTTTTTCTTTCTTTTTCTTTTCTGAATAAAAAATAGCACAACAAATTTTCACAGGAGCAGACGCTCATTTAAGGCTAAAAAGCAGAGGGGAAATATGGATTTTGCAATCTGTTCATTAGAATCGGTTTTGACTATGTTTTATTGAATGATTTTATCAAAATGTGGCTTGCCAATAAACTTGGGAACTGTTTCGCAGGAATACCTGATTACGAACTATTTTTCCCAGAGTTTCTTCCTGAACCAAAAGTAGGAACATTCCTCAACGCGACAAACGTTCACCTGACCTCTTCGTCATATAACAACTTGTTCTCCACGAGCTCTATTGAAATTTTGCGCAGTGCGACGAAAAATAGTAAATATGGCTAGTCGGCAATGAGGTATTGTCAACAACAAACTAAGCGATCAGAGACTATGTAGAATTCTATCTTCAACCTGCTTGCATAATTACTTCCGAATCACGTCCAGTTCGAAACACACACGAGCGAATAAATAAAGACAACGGCTATCGAACGCACTTATCCGCACTCTGTTTAGAATGACGACGGAAACACGTGAAACTCTGGCTATGTTCCGTATAGTGCCATCTCCAGCAGTAGATTATCAAGAAAGCATTGTCATACACGCAGGGTTTTCTGGAATCAGGCTGAATTATTTGGTGTATTTCAGATTACAGAACGGGTTACTAACTGAAAGCTATACAGGTTTTTATTCATAAGTGACAAATATAAAGATAAAAAGAAATGATGAAATCGTATCTGTTTGTTGCAATCCAATGGAGACAGAAAAAAAGACAAATATTTGCCACAAACTATCCCTCCCAATTACTTTAGTTGGAACTGGGTTCAAACGTTTGTACCCTTATCTCCAATTTATCTTATATGCGGAGACTCCGGCGTATATATTATGGTTTACGCTGGAATAAAAGGTGTTGTAATAGTCAAAATGAAAAAGACTGACTAATTTTCATGAAGATGGTGGTGTTGGAGAATACCTCGCAGGTGGTATTTAAAAAGCCAAAATCGGGTCAGAACTTGTCTCATTTCTCTATATTTGTTCTTTCTATTTGAGGAAAAATCTTCTCTGGGTGATTCGAATCAGAATTATTGAAAACAATGGTGCCACCCGGACGTATCTATGATTGCAACAGATCAGTGTATGCAGATGAAGATGAAAAGTGATTTTGACTTCTAAAACCGAAGGTTGTTCTCAGTTTCTCAAACCTTCTGGAACCGGTCTCAGCATTTTATCGTTGCAGACGTGTTTCCATCTTTGCGATGTTTTTAAAAATGTAAGGATCAAGCATTCTGTCTATATTTGAGAAGGTCAGGTAGTATGGGCTGCTGAGTACGTGGTTCCTCGGATAATTTATTGAGTGCCGTTAGTGACCAGATAATGCCGCATCTAACGTGCGCAATTAAACCATCAGGGTGGTATGTTCAGGTACGTTCTGGAGCATCTTTGACATCATTGATTATCCAGTAGCTACCTAACCTTCTAACCTAAAACGGTCCTCTACTTTTGGGCGGGGACTTTTAGAAAGCGATAACGAGTTCCCTTAGGATTTCTGTTTATAATTATCTTTGGTTGCTCAAACTGAATTACGTAGATACTTCTTCCCAAATAGGCTGGAAAATCGTTATTTTGTTCATCAGTGAATACGGTAATTTTCTAATCAAAAACGAAAGAAGAGCTAATTTTTTGTCATTATTCATAAACGGCTTACCCATTAAGGAGTAAAGTTTTAATCCCGTTTAGCTCATTCTATCGGGATTTACCTTTCTAAAAAAACGTAGTCATTGAAATTGTCATGCTCTGTATTGAGCTGGCAACCCCTAATACGTTTGAATTTCTCTAGGTACGTTAACAAGCAATATGATCCATCTACTTATTTGTGCATTCCAGTCAAGTTCAGCAGATCTGATCTTCAATTTCTCCGGTGAAACTGACTATATTACTTCCTAATTTGACAGTAGTATGTTGCAGAATCACAGTTAACCGAAGATCCACCCCACAACGAGCGTGATAACGTTAAATCTCCTAAGCAAGTAATGACGTCCTGTGTAGGAGATTTGCAAAACAAATGTTTTTAAAATTTCAGCCGTCATTCAGTAGATTTTTTGCGGTACACACATCGAACTTGTTGGTCAATCCAAGCAATTTCTTTAGAAGAAATCGCTTCGTGAATTGTGATTTCCAGCTGCAATATCTGAATAAAACTGTGATATATTATTCAGTTAGCTTTGAAAAGACTGTTTTCCCGTCACAAATTTGAACAGAGAAGTGAGAAACGGTCTCTCTGTCCTGCCTATGTAGACGGATGAGCATCCACACTTGAATTGGTAAATACAATTTGATTTGACGGAGGGAGGCAATGGTTC